TGGTAAACTCATGGGAGGAAGAGGGTTAAGAGCAGAGATTACAGAGGCCGGGCACCTCAGTTCTCTTTGGCAGTGAGATCTCTGCAGCTGGCAGATTGCTGCCAACAGATGATGAGGTAACACACACAGACATGACAGGGACAGCCTAGTCAAAGCCCAGTGAGTGGGGATTCCTCCTCCGAGCGCCTGTCCCTCCCTGAGTCCTGCTCCGACCCAGCCTTACCTGACGTATTCATGCCCCCAAGACGCCAGCTCCTCCTGGGAGCCCACCAGCCGGTACTTCAGACACTCGCGCTCCCCACTCATGGTCATGGCCAGAACAGAAATGATGTCTGCGGCAAAACGCTGGGGGAAGAGTGCCAGATGTTCAGACACACCCTGGGCACGAGGGAGCGAGGGCAGCCCACACCAGCCAGAAACACCCTCCCTGTGCCCACAAGCAATCACACGTGGCGCAGGCATGGCGCTGGCAAGTTATAATTCACCAGCGCGGGTCACAGAGGGTGATCTTAGATCTCACACTCTAGCAGGGCTCTATGGTCATGTGCCCCAGCACTGTCCTACTGCCCTCCAGCTACACAGGACGGTTGGCTTTACCTTGTTCTCTCCAGGAGCCATGTTCTCATAGATCTCCTTCAGCTTGCCGTAGTGTGGCCGTAGGAATTTGAGGGGTTTGGGAACAGAGGTCATCGAGGTCGTGGAAGAACGGATTTGTCTCCGCAGCTCCTCCAGGGCAGGGCGATAGAGGGACGTATCCTTCTCCTGCAGAGCAAAACTGCCTGTCAGGAGGCAGGGGCTGGTTCCTGTGTCACCTCTCCACCTACCCTCCCCAAACATAGCATCCAGATCCAAGCATCCCCCTGCCCCAGCAGCCATCCAGCTGCCCACCCTCCAAGGCAGCCTGGCCTCCAGCAACATCAACATCTTCCATGATCAGGAAGAGCCAAGTCACACATTTGGGAAGGAAACTGGCATCACACAGCTCTGGGCCACGGTACCCCCTGTCTAAGGGTGGCAACAGCCCAGTCTCACACAGAAAACCTCCACTGCTCCCCAGTTCCAAGCAGGCATCTGGGTGAGCACACAAGCACTGTGCACGCATGCATCAAGCAGGCAGACTCCTGCCTTGCCAAGCCCACAGCATCTCCTTGAGCCAAAGTAGGTTCCCAGGGCTGAGGAGGAAGCACAGCAGGGGGAGGAAAGTCATCAGCACAAGGAGGCACAGCTCCCTTAGACACAGGTCAGACAGGCAGTAAGGCCGGGGGACGGACATCGCTGTGACAGGCAAGGGGGGGCCCCATTCAAGGAGAAGTCCCCCATCTCCACGGCATGAGAAACAAGTGCCTGTAACTGACGGATGGCCAGAAGCAAGTCTCAGCTGGGGTTCCCGACAAAGCAGCTCCTCACTGAGGGGCAAAGCGTGAACCTACCCCCAAGCGCTCCACCAACATCTCCAGCTCATCCTGCAGCTGCTTGTCTTCCTCAGACTGCAACAAGACACAGAAGAAAGCCAAGTTAAGGGGCTCAGCGCAGACACCCCCAGCTCCGGAGCACACCTCCCCCCCAGGGTACCATTACATCAACCCCTATACATGGGGAGGTCTCAGCACAGCCCTAAGGAACAGTTCGGTCCACGACTTTCCCCCCACCTCCAGCTTTTCCAGGAATTAAAGGTTTGGACTACCCCATGACTCCCGCCCCAGGAAGGCTCACTGGTACCCTTGCTGGGGGATAGGTGACAGAAGGGACTGCCTCCCTCCTCCTCACAGGGGACAGGTTTTGCTGTCCCCAAGATTTTTGACTTTAATCCCAGAAAGTCTCTCCTCAGCTTCATTCTCCACAGGGGTGGTATCAGTCTGCCACAAGCCCTGCTCCCCTTCTGGGATCTCTGTTTAGACCTCTGGGTGCCCTCACCCCTCACCCACAGGCCCCACGTGCCCCCAGGGTAGCTGCTTTCCTCCATGCATCGCAGGAATGGGGTAGGTGTCACCCTGGGGTGCTGGGCCATCTCCATAATGCACAGCCTCCAACAACCTCCACAGGGCACCATCCTGCCCCAGAGCAGTCTGGGGTCAGTGCCCCCATCACCCATCAGGACACCCCACGGAGAGGGGCATGGCAGGGAACTGCCCCGCAGCCGGCTCCTGCACAGCCTGCCACATCAGGGCACCGAGCAGGGTGCCCCGAGTGATGCCAGCACCCCTGCCCCGCTCCCATGGGGACCCCCGACCCCAGGAACATCCCCACCCCGTACCAGAAGGCACCTGATGTCACATGTGCACTCTGATTACAGCATGGGTCCCCAACTCGCAGTGCCACCCCCAGTGCCATCCCCACACCACGTCCAGAAGGGACCCTGCTTCAGGCCCTGATGTCACACGTGCACTCTGATTACATCACAGGCCCCAGCCCACAGCACTGCACACCCTCAATGACATGACACCCTGCGGGGTCCCCCACTGCCATCCCCACACCACGTCCAGAGGGGACCCTGCTTCAGGCCCTGATGTCACACGTGCACTCTGATTACATCACAGGCCCCAGCCCACAGCACTGCACACCCTCAATGACATGACACCCTGCGGGGTCCCCCACTGCCATCCCCACACCACGTCCAGAGGGGACCCTGCTTCAGGCCCTGATGTCACACGTGCACTCTGATTACATC